AAATTTACATACACATACATATATATTACACATATGCACATAATTATACATATACACATAAATTTATATACATATATATATACATACACATATATTCATATACATACATTTACATACACACATATATACATATACACACACATACATAAACACACATTCATACATATATATACACATATAAATCTATATACACATACATATATATACACATAAACACACATAAACACATATTCATACACAAAATTTACATACACATACATATATATACACATATACATATACATTACACACATACATAAAAACACATTCATACATATTCACATATACACATACACATACATATATATATATTCACATACACATCACATAAACACACATAAACATTTATATATATGCATACACATTCATATTCACATTCACATACATACACAACACGCATACATAAACACACACATACACATATACATACATAAACATATACACATTCGCATACACATATACATACACACATACACATAACATATTCACATTCACATATATATATATATACACAACACACATACATATACAAATCCATATACACGATATATATACATATACCTTGGCGAATTTTGAAGAAAAATTCACATTCACATATATATATATATATACACAACACATACATATACAAATCCATATACACGATATATATACATATACCTTGGCGAATTTTGAAGAAAAACAATTTGTTGGAGAAGATTGGAGAAGATTGAGATTTTTTTAAAAAAAATTTCGAAGTCTGGAGGAGAAAGACGAAGTCGCAGCTTTTATTAAGTGTTGCGACGGATATTGCAGTCGCAACCCGTCACAAAACAAAAAATAAACCGCGAAAATTTAAAATTTTTTTATCGAAAATAGCAGAAAAAAATAAAATTTAGATTTGTGACTGAAATTTCTGTCGCAAATCTGTCGCAAATTCAAAAAATAAGTAACATAAATTTAAAAATAAATAAAATTAATATTTGCGACAGAAATTTCTGTCGCAAATCTGTCGCAAATCCGCAATTTTAAAATTTCTGTCGTAAATAATGTTTGGTCTGCGACGACAACATTTTTGTCGTATTCCGTCGCAAATTTGCGACGAATTTTGCGACTAATTGCGACGGAATAAAAATTTTCGCATTCCGTCGCAAATTCGTCGAATTCTGTCATAATTTCTTTGCGACGGAAAAATTCTGTCGCAAATTCCGTCGCTATATTAAGATTTTCTTGTAGTGACTTCATCATATAAAAGATACTCACAACTGAATAAGAGTTTCGTTAATACATAAACGTACGTACAAGTGACATAATCACATCATGGAACCAAGTCCCATACTCACAACATGATCCCTGAAGTTCTTAATTGGCATGCCCTTAGTCAGAGGATCAGCAATCATCAATTTAGTGCTAATGTGTTCAATGACCACTTTCTTTTCCGCAACACGCTCTCTTATGGCTAAGTGCTTGATGTCGATATGTTTACTCCGACTTCCACTCTTATTGTTCTTAGCCATTAAGACAGCAGATCTTGAGAGAAGTTGTTTGTTATAATCTCAATGGCCTAGCAATAGAATCCACAATTCTAAGCCCGGATATGAAACTCTTCAACCATACACCATGCGACGTTGCCTCGAAACATGAAACGAACTCAGCTTCCATAGTGGAAGTAGCGGTCAATGTCTGCTTGCCACTCCTCCATGATACAGCTCCACTGGCAAGCATAAATACATATCCAGATGTTGACTTACGCGAGTCAACACAGCCAGCAAAGTCTGAATTTGAGTAACCGGTGACCTCTAAATTGTCCGTTCGTTTATACATAAGCATGTGATCCTTCGTACCTTGTAGGTACCTCATCACCTTCTTTGCAGCTTTCTAGTGGTCCAAACCTGGATTACTTTGATATTTGCCTAACATTCCCACGACAAATGCAATGTCAGGTCTTGTGCAAACCTGAGCATACATAAGGCTTCCAACTGCAGAAGCATACGGAATGTTCTTCATTTGTTCCCGTTCGAGCTCATTTTTCGGGCATTGATTCAAATTGAACCTATCACCCTTCACAATAGGTGCTGGACTCGGTGAACAATCTTTCATCCGAAACCTCTCCAAGACTTTATTGATATAGGTCTCCTGAGACAAACCTAGAATACATCTAGATCTATCTCTATGGATCTTAATGCCGATGACATAAGATGCCTCACCCATATCCTTCATGTCAAAATTCTTAGAGAGAAATTGTTTCACCTCATACAACAACCCTTTGTCATTGGTTGCAAGTAAAATGTCATCCACATATAGAATAAGGAAACAAATCTTACTCCCACTGATCTTCTGGTATATGCAGTTATCCATGGTATTTTCTTCGAAGCCAAATGAAGAAATGACACCATGAAACTTCAAATACCACTGACGGGAAGCTTGTTTCAATCCATATATGGATCTCTTAAGTTTGCAAACCAAATGCTCACCACTACTAGAGGA